ATCGCGTGTCTTTTAACAGTGGAAAGCTTTTCTTAAAGAACGTTCTTTTGAATAGCACGCATGCTCAGTGATGGCTATGTCTCTAAGGTCCTTCAGAACAGCCCCAAACCACTTGTGACACAGTATGCAAGCCACTGGCCTTGCTTAAGCAGCTGCCTTTATCAGTGAAAAACAGTAATCCTAGAGAGTGAAAATGACCTGCCACAAGAAGCAAAACCAGTTAGTGGTGACTTTCCACATGGATCAGATGTTGCCGCTCAGCAGCCCGGGGACAGCTACAACCCACAAAAGTATTTGCTTTGGCCCACACGCTGTTGCCCCAAATAGCATTTTAGAGAATTTTGATTTATTTCCCAACGTATAAAAACAAGAAATTGTACATTAAAGTTTAGATTTCTGGCTTCATTTTAAGACAGTCAGTTCTGGCAGCCTCTCACTCGCTCAGGAAGAGTCAGCTAAAACAAGGACTTGGCTGCCCCCTTTGGGATGCAACAAGCAATCACACTGCCTTCACCATGAGCGTAGACTGTTCTTGGGTTACCTCCTGTACTCTGTGGAGAAAACATTTCAAGCTTAACCCTTAAAGGTAATTTTTGAGTACCTCGCATAAAATATAAGATAAAAGCATTTAGTGCAGAAACTAATTTTCATTATGGTAAGATATGGATAGAGTGTGCCTTTGTGGAAGAGGTTATGTATGCAAGAGGAAGATTGGGGAACCTGGGGCTGCAGGGAGAAAGGAGTGGCATGCCCTGAACTGTCAGTTTTCTGGCACTTATTTTATCTCTACACTAGAATGTCTAGAATGCAAACGTAAATCTCCCCGTTACATCAAGTCACCCGCTGGTCATTAAAATGTGAAGGGGCCCAGAGTTAGTTCTATCCAGCAACCCTGTATGCATTGACATTGCATTTCAAAATTAAACACAAATATGTAGCTCATTCTACAGCCGTCAAGCAGTGGAAAAACATGGGACTAGATCATAGCTACTTGTGCCCACAGTAGTGATAGGACAAGACAAAGGAAGACAAAGGGCCTTTGAGTCAGATTCTGGGAAGATTCTGGAAATCACACGGGGAATGTGAGACTATGATGCTATGGCAATTTCCAGAACTGTCAAGAGAACAAAATAATTACACAGGTCAGACATTCCCTGGGGGCATGAATGATCATCATTTATTCTCATTGGTCAGGTTGATGGACACATTCTGTCCTGAACTAACCTCTCTCTTTTGAACTTGGAACCAACTTCCTTTCTTTGCAAATAGTTTGTTTCCAGAGAAATACAAAATTTAGGGGCCAGTTAATTATGAAGTTGACAAAAACATCCATAATAACTTGAACAGATTTTACAATATTTTAAAGGATCAGACTTATAGTTTTTAATTCTTCTTAGGAATGATGGAAGAAACAACTTAATACATTCTTAGTCCTGTGACTGAGAGTAATCTCCTAAACATGAATGCGGCTCCGTTCTTGCTTAAATTTTCTTGTGGCTAACTACATCCTTCGCCGAGCTATCATGTCAGTGTACATTTCTCCAGAAGCCAATAGTGTCAGGAAGATTGGACAAGATCTTACAGCTATGAAGAATCCCAAAGTGAGTTAGTGGAAAGGGGGTGATAAAGAAAAGAGAGAAAAGAGTGTTGATCAGTAGCAATTTCTGTGGCAAGCTGTGCCTCCGTCTCACTGAACGGCAGAATCAGAACATTCTGTGTGCTCTGGATCATAGAGAACTGGGGTCTGTTCATCAGTAGCTGTGATCATAAGCCAAGAAACCCTGAACACTGCCAACCCAGCCCACAGCAGACTTCTGTGAACAAGCACAAAATGCAATGTTTAGGGTGGAGAAAGACAGAAGGAATGAGTTCAAATACCCAAGCCACTGGCAGTGTCAGCTTGAGGGTCCTTCCTTCTCCTGCCAAAGAAACTCACTAGCCCACACCCAAACTCACAAGCCATGGCCAAATTCACAGACCATGCCCACATGCACAGACCAACCAACAGTCTTTGCCCTGAATTGATGACCATTAATTTAAAAGATTAACTCTAATATTAACTAGAACAACACAGCATAGATGTTCATGAGAACACAGACGAAACCCTGAGGAATGCTGGGGCCCATGAGGAAGCTGCTTGGTATACATCGGTGTTCCAACCTGAGATGCTATGGGTCAGATGGGACCTTCATCAAAGATCTTGGATTCTTGAACAGGTTTTGAATCTCTGATCCCTATTCTTTATGTCTTTCCACTTTATTCAAATATAGACTTGTGTTTTGGTGTCTCGACATTCTGCTCTACACACACCTAGAGCTATACATCTCTGGCTTCTGATGTTGTATCTCCTTCAGAACATTTCAAAGCAGCATACGGTAGTCAGGAGCCACTGTTCTGGAGACAAACTGCTGGGATCTGGACAGTTCTTATTACTTATGAATCACATAGCCCTCACTGATGTGACTGATCTTGTATTTGTCTCTGTAGGCTTAATCATGTAGCTGCTTCTCTGGGCTCTCTGAGGATACAATAACTTGGAAGCTTCGATGTAATCAGACAAGTGCTAAAAGGTGGTAGTTTTTGCTAAATAAATCTAAAAGGGCAAGAACTAATGGACACTTAATATCGGCTCATGGTGAGTGTCAGGGAACATAAGGTTCAATGACCAGTCCACCTGGTCTATAACCAAACACTTTCTAAATGAGCATTTTCATTTCACTGTAGCCCCTCCTAACAAGAGCCATGGGCTTTAGCACCATAGGGAGTAAGTTAGAGATCATTTCATTCCTAGTTATAAAAGAAGTTCTCTGAAATTTCAGCAATGTGTCCACACAGTGGAACAGCAATCCCAAGTAAGAGAACGTATCTAAAACAGTCCCCTGGCTCCTCAGGGACTAACCTGGAGAGGTCTGCCAACTGATCTACTTGCCTCCCTCTGTTTCTGTCCTCCGAGTTATTTTCTGGTTTCATCTCCTTGTAGTTTATAAGGATGGGCCAAATTCACAGACCTAAAGATGGGCCAAAAGTGAGAAGAACATAATCTCCCGGTCAGCCGCTTTTGAAAACTAGTAAATTACAATAAGTGTCTTCATGTAAATTACAATAGGTATCTCCACCATCTAACGTTGTTTCTGGCTACTTTAAAAACAGGAAACTTGTGAGCCGTACTACCTTTTGTAAATGCTTTTTAAAATGATTCAAGTATGGTAGCTAGAGGTCTACAATCAGCTCAGGAGGCTGAGGCAGAGGAATCAGGATGAGATACACAATAAATTATTATTAAAAAAAATTAAAAAAAAAAGAAAGTTGGTAAGATTTTTAAAAGACCTAAAAGGAGACGGATCATAACCACATTCTGCATCATTTTCAAACTTTTGTTCCTTTTGGCATGCTTGCCTTTTTTTTTTTTTTTTCATTTTATCTCTAATTAGATGCCAGTTCTTGCAACACCTGCCAAATAACAAATACAACCAGGAAAATTCTTGTACAATTTTTTTTTCTAAGAAGACAAATTACAGCCTCCTATGGAACTCATATCTTATAACTTTGATAAAAGTGCCAATTTCTTAGGTTCCTCTGACTTCTATTCTTTCTATCCATGTTGGAAACTACACATTTCTCCAAAATCACACCAGACATCAAAACATTAAAATAATAACTTTACATTCTGAAATAAAATATATGATAATGACTTACATTGCTTTTCACATTAGTAAATAAACCATTTCCACTTGCTGACTGTTTGTCTCCATTCATGAATGTCTTATTTTCTTACTTTTGTCTTGGTATCACTGTCTTCCTCAAGGGGTATTTACATCGAATGAACATTAGCACTTTGCCTCTTATTTTCTCAAATAGTTTTCAGTTCCTCAAAAACAACTTACAGTATCCTATGAAATATTTCCTTTTGAAATTTATGGAAATTTTGGTGCACTCAGGTTTTAATCTAATATGCCCACCTCTCTGCTTTTGTTTTGTTGCCTGAGGTTTCTTGAGATAGATCTACCCTGTTACACTCATTTGGTCCACATTCCCATTTCCCACATCCCTGCCCCGGGGCCTGTGTGTTCCTGAATCACCAAAATCAAGCCCCTGGAGTCTGGGGCCACTCATGTGCACTCGGCTCTTGTACTAAAAACACCGCCAGCCTGTGGCATATGCTTACTCAGCACAAGCGTCCCTTGTTCTTGGCAGAAGTCTGTGGGAGTCATTTCAATGAAGAAGGAGCTTCTGCATGATTCTTAATTCTCAGAATTAAAGTGCTTTAAATATAGCATTGAGTTCCTGTCCTATCTCACCCTGCTTGGCATAAAAGGATGTCAACTAGGATTATTTAGCAATGCTTCTTCAACTCCGAAGCAGAATGTTCAGAGGTCTACATGCAGCCTTTCACACGTTCAGTGCTGCTTCGGAAATAAGAAGCTGCTGTATTAGCCACGGAAAGAGACTTCTTTGCAGCTTGTTTGCGTTCGTCTTTGCTTCTTCCTGAAGCAGGGGGAAATACTCTATTGGGAATAGAATCCACCCATAACATAGAATCAAGTTCCAATACCATAAAACAAACAAACAAAAAACAGAACCAACTAGGTCTCTGTGTTTCCTTTCACTATGCCAATCATTTCAGTTTGGAATGGTCCCGCCTGTGTCACACAAGGCTGCCTCTCAGATCATCATTTGCGGAGACAGTGGTATTACCACTCAGAAAACATTTATGGAGCACTGCTTCGCGTCAGGCATTTATATGTATAATGCTTGCGACCCTCACAGCAACCTAATTGCAACAACTGCCAGTTTAATCCCTATTTTGCAGGGGAAAACCAAGCACACAGAGAGTATCTTGCCCTGAGCCTCACCCTAGAAAGTTGACTGTAGAAATATAAAGGAATGTAATTTTTGTAGTATGTTAGTAGCAGTAGCATATTAGTATATCATGATTAGGATATTTAGTAGAGTCCTGGGGAGGCCGTTGGGGAGGGAGCTCGACTTTTCTCTTCTCCTACCTCGGACAGTGGCCAGCTCCCCGTCTGCATGAGCCATGCACTGCATGGCAGTAGCCCCCACGCATATTGGCATGCTGACTCTCTGCCCTAAGACGGAAGTCGACAGGTGGATATCAGCCACATTCCGGAGCACCCGTGGATAAAGCTTCCATCTGCAAGTTAAAACAATATTAACGTATGTAATTTAAAGTTTTTAAAGTGTAACCGAAACTTTTAACATATTTTAAAAGTGAAAAATTTATGTTTCTCATTAAGACAAATCATTTTTATAAAGATAAAGAAAAATGGACAGTTTTAATGTTTGCTAGCATCAAAAGAAAACTAGATGACAATAAACATCACATCACATGACATCCCATTATGTGTGGCGCTTGTCTTTTTCGTGAATTTGGTTACAGTTTTAAAATATAAAAATGGAGATGACAATGGCCTTCCATGTAATTTTACTGAAGTATGACTGACAGCAGAACTCATCTATTTCAGCACATAATTCTGAGAGCTATGACAGAACCAGGCAGCCATGTAATGGCCAAGACACCCACATCTCAGCCGGTCAGTCAGGCTTCAGATTTCCTCGTTTCCTTATATAGGGAAATTTTCTCCCCACCTCAAACCCCTGGCAAACATTGGTCTGAATCGTCCATTCTCATCTTCCACTCTTAAAGAATATCATATATATGGACTTGTACAGCAGCCAACCCTTTGAATCTGGCACAGTGTGCTCAATAACCATTTGTGCTGCTGCATGTATAATCAGTCTGTACCTTTGGGCAATGAATCTTATTTCACCTCCTGGAAAGTACCTGAGGTGTTTATCCACTCCTGGGGACACTTGGGGCATTCCATTTTATATTGATAATAAACACGGTAGCCATGAACATCCGCTTATCGGCTTTCAGGTGAATGGAATTTCTATTTTACTTTCCCAGACCGAGATGATAATATGCAAAGTCCTAGAGGTTACATTCAGATTTCAGAAGGTTTGGATATTCTCTCTGTAAGAAAGAGTAGCTTGAGGCAATTGTTTTTAGTATTATGTTTATTTTCTTCAAAGCTATTTAACTAAATTCGTATTTAATGAAGAATGATAATAAGGGAACAGTTAAATTTTTGGTTATTTGTTTTATCAGGTAAGCCTTTTCCTCAGATTAGTTAATAGAAACTAAAATTTTTAATTCATGAAAATTATTATAAATGATATTTTTCTGTGATTTCTCTAAGTTAGGACAGAAGTTACTATTAAGTCAACCATCAAAAATTTTTTCATAGTCTTACAGACAATAAATTATCTTTTCCATCAGTAGGATGTGTATTTCCTACTTGTTTATGCTGATCATTCTCCTCCTTACACCAGACTAAGTCTGAGCATTGTTACAATAAATGTCTTGTTTAGACATACATGCAGGCCCAACCAACAGTCCAGCTGATTTTCTGGATTTAACTGTACTCCTAACAGGTTCTTCTTGTAAATACAGTGAAGAGGGACTTTATATTAGAAAAATGAGGGAAAAGTCCTTCATTGACTAAAACTTGTTTTGTCCAGGAGCAGCAGCAGCAACAGTTTTGTCCTGAGGACTTGTTAGAAAGAGGTCTGTAATGTCACTCAGCAAACTAAAAACACCTCATCCCTGGACAGCGTAAGAAAGGAGTTTAGTGTGTGCTTGTGGCTCCTAGGCTGTTCTTCGAACATCCTAATTGTCATCATTTTCCATCTCACTCGGTGCTCTGTTCCTGGAAAATCTCTGCTTCACCGTGGACACGTGCAGCATGATTTTCTCATTTGCATTTTGAAGGGGAAGAGACGGAAGCCCTGGAGGGAGTTTTACTGCCTATAATCTCTAAGAGAGTTGACAGAATAAGAAAAAGATTTTAATAGTGGGGAGACACACCGGCCTTGAAAGGCAGTAATATCAATATTTACTTATGACTAAAAGAATAATGAGAAGCACAAACTGTGGAGCATCAGGGTTCTCTTTCTCTCCTCCCTCTTTGTATGTATGTGCATGCGCACACGCACATGCATATTCATGTGTAAAAGGAGCCTTTTTAAATGTCACCCATTTATAAACCAAGGTTCATCTGTCCATGAGCAGCAGCCTTACCCTCGTCCACTTGGTGGCGCGGTCGCCTTAATAACCGCATGCTCCCACTTTCCAACAAGGCATTTTCTGTTTCAAACATTGCAGAGATTCTACAGCCCTTACATTTTGGGGCAAAATTAAATAAAGCCAGGACAGTGTACATTCTCTAAAGTGTCCTCTGAGTTTTGGTGTTTTCTAAATAACAGAAACTTTGCTAGATAGTTTCAATGGATTTTTGACCACAAATTTAAATGGCTATCACCTCAATTATGCAACAAATAATGCATCTCTGTAACCTTTTGTTGCATCCATGTAAAATCTGCTTTAGGAAGAGCCTATGAATGTGGAGAGAACAGCTGGACCACTGAGTGATGAACCTTCTTTAAAATCCAAAACGAATAAAGGAAATTATAGCAGGACTTTCAGCCTACACTTCAATAGAGGAAAGGCCTAGGTTCTAACTAACCACAAACTCAAGAGAGACACACACTCCCCAGGATATAACTGCTCCCCGAAAGTGTTCACAAATTCCATAGCATGAAGCCTTTTGCTCATTTATAACAGGACTTGAATTGACTTTCCTGGAGTCCTAAAATACCAGCACATGCGTTTCAATTTCTCCATCTGAACTCCCCACTCACAAATTTTAAGCAAATGATTGAAAAAGCTCCTTCCTCACTTGTTCCATGTAGCAGCCAGAGACGCTGTGACTTGCTACTTATGTAACCCTGAAATGCCAGTCCTGGGTTTGTAATGTTTCTCAAACAAAGAAGTGAGGCTGATGTTGCTTTTATGCACCAGATAGTTCCAATGAAGCCTCCCACTTGTCAATGTCAATGGAGAAGCAGCAGGAAGGAGGCAGCTTCTACTTCTGAGGTCCTAATGCGGCTTTATTCTCAAACGGTGGAGTTAGTTTCCATCAGGAAAAGCATCGGAGTGTGCAACAATGCTGGGGATGGGGGCTCCTTTATGTCAGCGTGTGAAAGAAATAGTGCAGGACAGTTTTCCAAACTAGCCTCAGTCTGGTCAGGCCATTCGAGCTGAGGCAGCCCAGCATTCTGACAGTTGCTCTTTTTATATGCTTGCAACAGGAAATTTCATTCTTCAAGGTGGTTCACCTTCTTCATCCTTTCTGGCCATGATAATGCCAAGCTTCAATCGTACAAAGAAACATGTCCAACCAACCATCTGCTGGTTCACATAAGTGGCCCAAGAATCCAGAACTCTAAAATGTGGTTGCCAGATCTGAGCACTGATGGACAGTGCCAGGAAGGCTGTTCCTCGTACTTGTGGGAGAAAGAGGGCATGAACTCCACAAACGCCTTTGAAACGCTCTGACCTTATGCCACAGTTATGTAAGAGTGATAATTTTGTAGCCTTATTTAAAACAGAAGGAGAAATGTTGGGGTGACTTCCTTCCTGCTATCAAGCCAGTGCTACCAAAGCCAGCAGAAATCCTCTTCTTTCCACAGGACTCTCAAAGGCACAAAACAGGGATGATGGGCCATGCAGGGAGCCTCAGTACAAAGGAGTTTTTGAGATGTCAAACAGGTGAACCTGACTGGCATTTGTTGTAGTACAAACACTGAGAACTGGATGTCCTCTGGAGAAATTTACACAATGCCTTTTTATTTCTTTAAAGAAACAAAAGAATTATCAAGTTTCATGACAGACATAGCTCTGCAAACCCAGTTGCATTATCTGTGTCGCTGGGATAAACTAGTCCACATTTAGGATGGCATTTCCAGTGGGAGTGCTGTAGAATTCACAGAAGCAAAGAAACTCTTCTGTCCGGTGACAACTTAGAAGTCATCAGGTCTTCTCTGCCTCAGAAAGTGTCTATAATTTCTGTGATTAAGAAGGTAGTCTAGTTTACTGTACATGTTGGTCCCTTCTCTTGAGTAGCTGTTTGGGGGCACTTTACATCTTTGCCACCCATTAGATTATGGAAACTGAGTCAACGCTGAGATGTACATTCCTTTCTATCTTTGTCATTGTTAGGTCCTAGCTTGTAGCAATCTTGTCTGTGGAAACAGTTCAAAGTGTACATAAATCAATTATGCAGTCCTGTTGGCACATTCCTGTAGCACTCAGGGAGCCGAGTTGGGAGGTGAGCGCAGGCTAGCCTGGTGTGCATGGCCAGTTAGACATCACACAAAGCTATGTAATGGGGCTGTAAGTAAGTCACAAAGTTGGGTCCCATGAGCTGGGGTGTCTAACAGGATAGAGAAGTCTGTGTAGAAATGGAATGAGAGCTTGGTGACGGCAATGCTCAAACACCAACCTACACATCTTAGGCTATAAAAGCCCCATAGGGCTAAGATGCTGCTTAAGAAGAGCATTCAGCAAGGCCATTATCCTGGTGAGCACAGTGCCATGATCCAGAAAGGGACATTTTTAGAGTAGGAAATGTGAAGAAGCCTCAGTTGTTCTTTAAAATAATAATAATTTGGGAACCTGTAGAACTTTAAGCTCCTGCGCTGTTAACCAGCTCCGCATCCACAACTTGCCCAGAATTTGTGTTTAAGAACAATTCAGAAAACACCTCATCAAGGACTCCAGAGGTCGCGGAGATGGCCCGCCCTCCATGCTACCACTCCCCAGGCTCCATCACCAACTTCTGTGCAAAGCAGGTGCTGCCACAAGGACTGCCTTAATTAAAATTATTTACCTTCTCCTAATTTTGAAACATTGAGGTGATTCTAGTAACTTCATTCTATACCAAAGAAAAATGCCTTATGAACCCTCATAAATGGGGAGCCCTGATATCTACTGCCATCACTAAGGGCTACAGTGGAAGAATAAAAGCATGGAAAGAGTGCTCTATAGAAAATTCTCTCAGCTTCTCGGCTGAAAAAGGAAAAAAAACCCAGCCATTTAAAGTTATTTTATTTTTTTTTTGTTTTTGCCATGAAAAGAAAGCATAAACCATGACACCTACCATCTTGTATCTGAAATATAAAACCCTGGAAAAACTGATTTGGGAAGAGAGATGAAGCACTTTACAGAAGGTGTGAGACCGCAAGGGTGAGAGATGAATGCTACACAGACATGTCTAAGGTGAAAGTGTCGTCAAGTCATAACGAAAATGAGTGCTAATGGAGGGAGCCAGCAGGATGGGAACTTGCAGAGCAATAATCCTGCGGGTTGGCTGGTAGGAGCTACCTAACACTTACAGCTGGCCTCCTAGTCTATGCACACAAGCGTTCTCTGTCACAGTCTAACAAAAAGAAAATGAATTCATCAGTGTTTATGATAATTTGTGTATATAGTTAAAGTCATTACTGTCACAGTTCAAGTAAAGGTAGGGCCCACTTTTGCCATCAATCCCAGACTTAATCATATGTCAACATTTTAAGATATCAAGATTTCTCACATGCCAAGAATTTTCTATCCTTTCTTAAGTACGAATCCAGGCAATCATTTTCACACCAGCACACAAAACTACATCTCATTCTTGTGCAATGTCACTGTGAGATATTAAAACACAATTTTAAATAATAAAGTTTCTTACCTAGAAAACGCTCTAATATTATCAGCCAAGGTCTCCTGATCATTTGCCCCGGACTTGTAATAATCAAATACTGACTTTTGAAGCACTGATCGGGCATGTTGTTCATAATCGTTGATGCACACCAGCCGGGGCAACATTGTGGCAGGGGACAGCAACCTCAAATACCCTGGAGGGCTTTCATGGATTGCCTTCTATGCTGAGGCCATTCCATTATTTGTCAATTATTAATAGACTTTTGCCAAAGTTCATATTTAATTCTCTCTTGCTTACATCAAATGAGCAAACATTGTATGCCTAGACTTTGACATTCCATTTGCAGATTGACCATAAATGTACCTAAAACACACAGAGTTAGAGATGTGGAGGAAGCATGAGTGAGTAGGAACTATCACGCTGACAGAGGAGGGAAAGGAGTTGAAAAAGTTAAGGGACTTGCTTGAAGCCACCTTTGGTTCAGGCCTACATCAGGCTGGGTCTTCCGATATTCCATGACTTTGCACTTTGCTTTGGCACCCGCAATGAGCAAACTCTTCATTTTCCTTCCACACTGCTATAATGCACATGCCATATAAAAACAATGGAAAAGGTTATAAAGTAAATACTTATACAGTGACTGCAGAACTTCTGTACAATATAAATTTGACCCAATCATAAATATGTGGCTTTAATACAGAATGTTACAGCTAAATCTCAATTTTGTATTGCTCTGGGGTGACTGAGGGCAGTATCATTCTAAAAGGCATGGTAATCTCAATCTTAACTTCTTCTCTGTCATGGAATGGCTGGGGAATATTGGTGTGTGCACTGCATAGCCACAAAAGCAACGGAGCTGACCTAAGCTAGACCTGGATTTCAACCTAGTAGACTACACAGGTGTTCAACAGCTGAATTCCAAATGCTTCAGTCTGTAAAAACTTTCTCTCTTGACCCTGGGCCTTACTTTCCAATCCATGTGGCATGCTGAGTGCCATGGGATCAGCGGGTGCTCTAGGAAAGGCCTCAGTGAAGAAGTTAAAGTGAAGCATGAGCCACCATAATCTCTCTCTCAGATGAGATTACTCTTCCTGTATTGCAGGCTTCAGGTGCTCACAACGTATTCCTACTGACAGTTTTCAGGGTCTCTTCTAGACCCACTTCCTGATCTTCACTGAGCAGTTGTCTGGCAGTGCACTTTTGACAAAATCCAAACTAAGACTTATTAATACTACATGTATGGAGAGGTTTAAAGGATATATCATTGGTGAAAATACAGAACACAAACTGGGTTGTTTTTTATTTTTTTTTATTTTTTTATTTATTACAACTTGTTCATTTTGTATCCCAGCTGTAACCCCCTCCCTTGTCCCTTTCCAATCCCGCCCTCCCTCCCTCTTCTCCTTCCCTAGTCTGATAAGGGAGATCCTGCTCCCCTTCCATCTGACCCTAGTCTATTAGGTCTCATCAGGACTGGCTGCATTGTCTTCCTCTGTGGCCTTGGCAAGGCTGCTTCCCCCTCAGGAAGGTGGTCAAAGAATCAGCCACTGAGTTCATGTCAGAGACAGCCCCTGTTCACCTTACTAGGAAGCTCATTTGGAGACTGAGCTGCCATGGGCTACATCTGTGCAGGGGTTATCTCCATGCATGGTCCTTGGTTAGAGTTTCAGTCTCAGAAAAGACCCTTGTGCACAGATTTTTTGATTCTGTTGTTCTCCTTGTGGAGCTCCTGTCCTTTCCAGGTCTTTCTATATCCCCCTTCTTTCATAGGATTCCCTGAACTCTGCCCAAAGTTTGGCTATGAGTCTTAGCATCTGCTTCAATACCCTGCTGGGTAGAGTCTTTAAGAGGCCCTCTGGTAGGCTCCTATCCTTTCCGTTTTCTCCCTCTTCTGATGTCTATCTGGTTTGCCCTTCTGAATGAGGATTGAGCATCTTACCTTCTTGCTTAGCTTCTTTCGGTGTACAGATTTTAGTATGATTATCCTATATAATATGTGTAATATCCACTTATGAGTGAGTATATGCCCTGTGTGTCTTTCTGCTTCTGGGGTACCTCACTCAGGATGATATTTCCCAGTCCCAACCATTTACCTGCAAATTTCATGATTTCCTTGTTTTTTATTGCTAAGTAATATTCCATTGTGTAGATGTACCACAATTTCTGTATCCATTCCTCAACTGAGGGACATCTGGGTGGTTTTCAGCTTCTGGCTATTACAAACAAAGCTGCTACAAACATGGTTGAGCAAATGTCCTTACTATATACTTGAGCATCTTTTGGATATATGCCTAGGAGTGGGATAGCTGGATCTTGAGAAAACGCTGTTCCTAATTGTCTGAGAAAGCACCAGATTGATTTCCAAAGTGGCTGTATAAGTTTACATTCTCACCAGCAAGGGAGGAGAGTTCCCCTTTTTCTACGTCCTCTCCAGCACGTGTTGTCACTTGAGATTTTGAAGTTAGCCATTCTGATGGTGTAAAGTGAAATCTCAGGGTCATTTTGATTTGCATTTCCCTGATGACTAAGGATGTTGAGCATTTCTTTAAGTGTTTCTCTGCCAATTGATATTCCTCTATTGAGAATTCCCTGTTTAGCTCTGTGCCCCATTTTCAAATGGGTTACTTGATTTGTTGCCGTTTAACTTCTTGAGTTCTTTATATATTCTGGTTATTAGCCCTCTGTTGGTGAAGATCCTTTCCCAAGCTGTATGTTGTTGCTTCACTCTGACAATAGTGTCCTTTGCTTTACAGAAGCTTTTCACTTTCATGAGGTCCCATGTATTGATTGTTGATCTTAGAGCCTGAGATGTTGATGTTCTGTTCAGGAAGTTGTCTCTTGTGACAATGAGTTCAAGGCTCTTCCCCAATTTTTCTTCTAAGAGGTTTAGTGTGTGGGTTTTATGTTGCAGTCTTTGGTCCACTTGGACTTTAGTTTAGTGTAGGGTGATAAGTTTGGATCTATTTACATTTTTCTACAGGTAGATTAGACCAGCACCATTTGTTGAAGGTACTATCTTTTTTCCATTGTATGGTTTTAGCATCTTTGTAAAAAATCAGGTAAGGTCTTTGGTTGTATCTTGTATCTGTCTTCTCCTTTACTTAGTGTCTTACCTCTCTTCTGTCATCTGTCATTGTGATGTCCTGCCCAAATCATGGGACGAAGAAACTGTGGACCAGAATTAAAAAAAATAAAATAAAATAAGTTATCCTTTTCAAGTGTTAGTGTTATACTTTTTACATCAATAAGAAAGCAACACAGTAAATACTGAGTAAACATCACCATAACCATCTTTTATTTCACCAACCCATTGTTGTAAAACATTATTTCTTAATATCAACTATATCAACATGAACTTCTAAAGTTCAAGAAAGTACATGAGATTTCCCGGCTTCTAGATTGCTGTAGTTGTTCTTCACTCATGTCAATACTTTTAAATATTTTTTTTTTTTGCTTAGTTCAAGTTATTCTCTACACCCTCATGAGGATTCTCATCCAACAATGATCTTTATGTAGCCAGATTCTCTGAAGAACTGCCTTAGCTTATGCTTTAGAAAGCTCCATTGAGTAAGTGGGATACAGTGTAAAATCAAAATAGTTTACACTTGGTGAAGAACCTATTAATTCATTTTGTAGATGGGAAAACACCCAAAGAAAAGTTCCTAGAACTTCATGTGTAATCTATGGCTTAGTTTGGACTTGAATCACAGGAGACCCACAGGGCCTAGCCAACTGTCATGTAAAATCCCCACAATGTTGGTCACCAAGAGGAGCAGAAGACAGAGTAAGGATACATGTCCTTCTTCTCTTAACAAAAGAACCAGTAACTGAGAAAAATGGCTCCATGGTGATACAATGAGGAAAATGGAAATGAAAGCAGTAATGAATTTAAGCATGAAACTGTTTTGGATAAAGGGTTTTGATTGAATCAAAGGAGATTTGTTTGGTTTATCAATGATTTACTGTTTGTATTGATACTGTTTGTATTGATACATAGGCACATTCCAATGTTTCCCAGTGGAAACATTTTCCCACATGAAAACTGCAATTGCAGGTGTCAATATCCAGTAATTCCCACCAAAGAATGAAAACTCTAAATCGTTCAGTTTAAAATCACTGTGAGAAAGCTAACTTTGTTGCTTTCCTAAGCAAGCGTCCCAGTCTGACAGCAGCATCCTCATGAAAGTTGATCATGGAGTCTCAATTGCCCCATTTTGCCAGTTAGCAGGATCATTTGAAAGTTGATGAAAGAATTAGCTACTTATCAGTACAGATTCAAATTTTGTAAAGTAAACCACCTTCTCTTTATAGTCCACCCTTTGCAACAACTGTTAAAATTATTAGTTGTACCTTGCAACTTACATAATTAGGATGATGAGGCAGTTTAGTACTGTTTAATAAAGTTTAAGCAGGTCATAAGAGCCAGAGATTCTCAAAGTACGATCCTGGACCAGGTGCTGAGCAGCCTCTGGCACCAAGCATCTTCTGGTGCATGTGCATCTTCTGGCTCTGCCGCTGAGGAGACACTTTAGGAAGCTGGGCTGTACCAAGCCATTCTGGTGACTGTGCCTCAAAATACAATTTGAGAACCACGGTTTGGGCAAGAAAGGGAATAAAGAAGGAGGCTGGGATTTTGAAACCAACTGACCAGCACACCCTCCGTGCTCCTTCAGTTACAGGCCACTGTGGACTTGAAGTGCTGTCTTAGAAAGGAAATTGTGAAATGTGTGGTCCTCATGTCATTTCATTTATCTCTTGGCGGATAGGAATAACAGGAGTTGGAGCTTATGATCCTTTGCTAATTCATGACAATCACAATTCGTTTAGAGACAATAGTTTGTAAAACTTTCCTGAAGGAACTGCATGACAGGATATTTAAGAAGAACATGGGGGAAAAGAGCATGGAGCTGGAGAGATGTCTCAGTGGTTAAGAGAACTATTTGCTCTTCCAAAGGATGTGAGTTCAAGTCCCAGCACCCACATGGCAGCTCACAACTGTCTGTAACTCCAGCTCCAAGGATCGATACCCTCCCACCAGTGCCCATAAAATAAAATTAATATCTATATCATGTATTTAGGTATAGCTATATAAAAGAAGAGCATGAGCAGACAAGTTTAGGTTTTACACAGGTGGTTAGAGGGTGCAGTTATGTGCAGTTACAGTGACCCTGATCTCAATTCTGAGAATCAGGACGATGCCAACGCACTCTT